AGCTCTTTATACAGTAAAGTTACAGCGGGATAAAAAATAATATCAGGCTGATCCTGCCACAATTTGTCCCCCGGTTCAAATCACGGACAAACAGCAACCCACAGTTGTTTATGCTTTTGAACCCATTTTGCACAGAGAGACATTTTTTGATTTGATTGCAATGTTGAATATTATTACACAGGGAAAAAAAAACAACTACACGTAAAATAATCACACCGTGATGCCTCTGCCTTTCTAAATGGAGGGACGGTAACTGCGTGTGTATATGTAAATTGTAAAACCTGAAGATAGTCAGATTAACAGAAACAGTATTTTGTCTCTATCTGCTATTCTGCAATTCATCTCATGTAAACAATAATGTGGCGCACAGCCTGACGTGAAAAAAGGCACATACCTTTGACGTTGTGTGATGAACGTTGTGTACGGTTACGTCCACACGTAAACGCAAAAAAAATCTCAGTTTTCAGTGATTCGAAACGCCGTTTACGTGTGGACGAAACAGCTGCGCTTTCAAAAATACCCGTGTAGGTGTGGACGTAGCGTAAAAGAGTTAGTAGATTATTTCCTTGTTACCTGTAATTTATTGCAGATTACTTGTATTTGCTTAATTGTTTACTAAATGTTTGAGGTGTGAAATAAACCGCAATGGAGCAAAATATGGGTGTGTGTGGTTGGAGGGGGTGAACATTTTTCTTGTAAAACAAAGGGGGGCCTAGCAGAAAAAGTTTGGGAACCACTGGCGTAAAGTATAATCCCATTTTAAATGTCAGAAAGGAGAATAATCTGGGGCTAACAGCTTGTTATTGACAGCTCATTAGCCAATGAGCATGCAGTTGGATTAACAGTCAAATTCACACCTTTCTCACTGCAGAAAACCACAAAGGCTTCAGCAAAAACGCTCATCTCGACACCTCATAACAGAACTACACCAGTGGATGATGTCATAATAGATATGTCCATCATTTATAATGTCTAGGGTCAGTGCCTAGCTGACTAATGATTTGATAAGAGTAATGTGGGCCTTGAAATGACCTGAAAGAGTAAGCCAAACTAAATATAACATCTTGTGTTCAGATCTGACTGAGTAATGACACTGTGGAGAACTGAGTGTATTTGATGCCTCACGCAGCATCCTTGATCCAAAACAACAAACTCTGACCAGCACATTTCTCATGTGACCTCTCTCTACCGGTCAGATGGGGCAACAGACCAGCTCTGATGTCACGATATTACACATGTCAGAGCCTGGACCTCAGCCACTCACAGCCCAACACTCAGCAGGACAGATTACATGGGCCCGCCCACTCCCACTGACACGCCATCTGCCATCGCAGCGCCCATGCACACTGTAAACACATACTCGAGCACGGGCATGCAAGCACTTTTAATTTTCAAAGAGATGCTGACAAGATGTATAAGGTCACCGCCGGCCAAAATGACTGCCTGGACCGGCAGGCTGAGACGGACAGGCAGGGCAGGCGGATGTCATGGAAGTGACAGGGGGTAATAACGAGTCAGCATTCGCTCACATCACACTTCACTGTGGCACTTTTTCATCATGGCTAAAAGCTATTTGCTTTCTCTCAAATCTCTGAGTCCTGACTGTTAGATTAGTATCAAAACAGATCAGAGAAAGTCAGAGGAATTTCCTGATTGTCCAGAGTAGTTCAGATCCACAATATGAAGCTATATTTTGCACCTGGAGTTTAAATCAACAGCTTATTTAAACACAACACTACTCATTTTATGTCAACTTCAGTGAGATGTTTCACTTCAAAAGCTTGTTGGGGCACTTTTTCCCTCTACACTTCCTGGACATCATCCCTGTCAACGACATATTCTGTTTGTTATCCTTTATTTTAAAGACTTTATCTTACATGGTTACTTTGGATGTTTGTCTATTTTGCCAAAAGTTGAATGAGTAGATCAATGCCACTTTTATATCTGTATAGTTAATAAGTTATTATAACTAACTACCACCATGATTGTGACTGCTAATAAGGCTTCTGAAAAAAATGAAATAAATAAATACCATGACTTGATAGTGTGGCAAGAGTATAACTGTATATCAAAGATGGACATAGCTTCAACAACTGCATGAATTGTGTTCTCATGGCCAACAGAGAGTGCAACTCATTAGGTCTCATTGTCTAGAGGTCCCTGTAGCTCTCATGATTTATGACCTCACTAATCACCTTCCTAATGAGCATAGGTCTAGGTATGGCCTCAAACACTAGCTTGAAGTGTTAATTAATATAACTTAGTACAATGGTACACTGTGATCCTATTAGAGTAAATTATATGCAAAAGCAGGGTATGATTTGGTGTGTGGCTAACATGACTTGTTTCTCAGTCAGATCCACCTCAAGAAACCACAATGAAGCATTCAAACAAGTCCAAGCCAACAGGTAAGATTAATGTGGCTAGGCGGCACCTTAGATATTGAGGTTTTGCAGTCATATGACCACTAACCATGTGACAGTAACTTTGTTTTGATCATCTGTCCACCACCAGTTGCGAGCGAAAAATGTGTATTACCTGACAGGCTGGTGAGCCATTGCTGTAGTTTGATGGTAATCACTAGCAATCGGCTCCAAAAGCCCCAGTCACACAGGCTTACAGACCAGTAAAGAGACCCCCTGGCAACCACTGGTTGCTAGGGAAAAATATGTAATGTGTTGTACAAAGCAAGTTTCTCATGCAACAAAATCTCTGTGACTGATTACACCAAGCGGCACAAGCAGCTTCCAGCAACTATTTGCCAACCAGTCGGGGAATGAATATTTTTCAAGGTTGTATCACATCTAATGTGGGGGACAACTCTTGAGCAATGTGAGCATTACATGATGAACCTCTTTATAGTATATGTTTAATAATTAGCCTAACCACCATAACTACTGTTATGGTGGTGAGTCAGTGAGTAATGATCACACTTAAGATAACATAAAGGAAATAAAACTGTTTTTTTATATTTATCATGGTGAGTTCACAATTTATCATGATGCATGCTCTTTTCACCAATAACTAAAAAACAAACATGTGATGCAGTATGTTTTATGTTCAATGTGTATACAAATTCAAAAGTAAGAAAATGTATAGTTATAAAAGTTAGGTATTAAAGTTGTGCGTAGATGTTTTTGCTTTCAGACCAAGCTAGTCTAGCCATTCGTGGTCTTCAATATATGAGTAGCATTGATTTCCCCATCTGGCACACAAAAAATACTTATTTGAATTTCCAGAGTGATTTATAGAGGACATAAAACATGAGACAGTGAAAGTGGACAGTATATCCTTGGTTTCTTGGCATAAACATCATTGGTAAAGCCA